CTTCAGGAGCTTAATTTAAGAGTAGTAAAAAAAGATAAGTAAACTAACACAGCAAAATGTTTTTCAGATACAGTTTTCTCCAGGAATAGTTAAGAAAAGAAAATAACTAAGGTACTTATTCTGCTTAGGGGAAGATCTTAGAGATTTAGTCCAAGACCAGTTTCATTTTCAAAGGCAACCTGGAGATCAGGGTCATCTGAGGCCTTGGAGATACTCTCAAGGTAGAAATCCTAAAGTGCCATGCCCTTTGTTTCCCCCCTCCCCCGACATCTGGCACTGCAGTGGCTTTCTTCTAACCACTTGTTTCTGTCTGCCCCTCAAACTGCTCTTAAACAGAAACTCTGTACTACTTTACCTGAAAACACATCACAGGAACCTCATACAGACCTAAGCACTGAGTTACAACCATCTTTCTTCCCTTCCTCTATTTTAGTGATGCATTTCTCATGTCACACCAAGGCTCTGCTAAGACTAAACTTTTTTGCATTTTTATTAATTATTATTATTTATTACAATTTATTCACTTTGTATCCCATCTGTGGCTCCTCCCTTTTCTCCTCCCAAACCCACCCTCCCACCCTCTTCTCCCTCTATGCCCCTCCCCTAGTCCACTGATAGGGGAGGACCTCCTCCCCTTCTATCTGACCCTAGCCTATCAAGTCTCATCAGGACTGGTTGTACCCCCCAGGGGGAGGTGATCAGACAGCCTGCCACAGAGTTCATGCCAGAGACAGCCCCTGCTCCCCTTACTAGGGTACCAGCAGCAGAAAGACACACATGGTATATACTCACTCCTAAGTGGTTATTAGACATGCAATATAGTATAAACATACTAAAATCTATACTCCTAAAGAAGCTAAACACCAAGGAAGACCCTAGGGAAGATGCTCAATCCTCATTCAGAAGGGAAAACAAACGCAAGAGACAATGGAAACAGAAGAAGACAGAGAACAACACAGAAGCCTACCACAGATGACTTCTGGAAGACTCCACTGATGGAGGTATCGAAGCAGAGGCTGAGACTCATAGTCAAACTTTGGGCAGAATGCATGAAACTTTATGAAAGAAGGGGGAAATAGAAACACCTGGAGGGGACAGGAGCTCCACAAGGAGAGCAACAAAGGCAAAAATACTGGGCCCAGGTCCCCTGCAGAGACTGATACTCCAACCAAGGACCATGCATGGAGAGGACCTAAAACCTTTGCTCAGATGTAGCCCATAGGCCCAGTCTCCAAGAATAAACTCTTAAATCAGCTGAGCTGGGAAAGAAACACTGGCCTCCAGGTAAATGTGAGTTCAAGTTCAGATCCAGTCTTTTCTCAATTACCAAGAAAAAAGAGATATTTCAAAAGGCTTTAGGAAGAACTGATTTGCTTCTTTTAAAGGTGTTTTGTGCTGTTTTAAACTTGTTTTAAGAAAGTCTAAAAGGAAGAAAGAAAAAAAAAATATATATATAAATAAAGAATGTAGTGTTACCATCAGAACTCCACTCCTACTTTACTTGCCTTCTAGGTCATTTTTTTTGTATTTTTTTTTAAAGATGCATCATCTCTAGCAGCTGTTAAAGTAAGTAAAACACCTACACTTCTCAGCTTTTTCAAAGGATAGCCAACTTGACAGACTTACCTAGTCATGTGAGCTACAGGGAGGAAAGGGTCCCTCAGCTGTTAGGTAGCAGCTTCTCTTAACACCATCTGGAGATAAGCTGTTAAGAGAACACCTGGTCCTGATACCAGAAAAAAAGAAACTTACAATAACTGCTAAGAATTCAAACTTCTGAAGAAATAATCTTACTGACAAGTGAGGGAGGCTTCTCAAAAAACGCCAAGGAATTATAAGTACACCTCCACAAAGACTTAGTCTAATTCAAGTGAGTCTAAACTCAAAGAAAGAGTTCTTTCTGTAGCACCTGTGACACATGACTATACCAGAACTAAGGTAGCATCCAGACAGAACAGCCAGATGTCTAGACAGGAGTTCGATTAAGGTAAAGAAGTCTGCTGAAAGACCTATTCAGCTAAAGCGCTGTGTGTAAAAACTCCCAAGTTGAGTGAGCTTGGGGCTAAGTCCAGAGTCTACAAGACTGACTCTTATGAGAGAAAAACAGGCAAGCTGTGGGAATTCAGCTAGGTGGTATGTATTCTGAGTCAACAAATCTACTTAAAAACTGTAGACACATGAGCTGACAAGCCAAGTTTACAAATCAAGGTATCTGTACATAAAACAACAGATGGGCATGCACATGGCACACACACATCTGCAGGCAACACACCAATACATGAAGTGAGCACCCATAACATAAGATAAAAAAGAACATATTAGGTAGAAATTGAGGAAAGGAAGCAAAGGCCATTTAAACAAAAAATCCAAAGATTACTGCTATCTAGCACACTTTGACTTCCTGTCAGGTGCCACACTTCACACATTTCAGTTTTCTTAAGGTGACAATTCTCTGTTGTGCTTCATCATATCCCTGCATCCGCTTAAATGATATGTTAAAGTCCTAAACATGGAACCTATCGCTGTGACCTTAAAATGGGAAGACTAGCCAGGTTGGCAGAACCCAATCACACAAATCCCTTTACAAGTGGATCTTCCACTGGTTGCAAAAAGCTGAAGAAACTGGAATCATTTAAAAAATTCTAGAAAGGCTCTGTTGCCTTGAAAGAATAAGCTTTGATATTATTGAGAACCAGTAAGAAGGCAAGTGGCAAGGAACTGGATGCCTATATGCCGACAATGAGGCAAGGTGATGGCACACTGGTCTTACAATATCCAATTTTGCCAGCAATCTGAATGAGATTGGAAAGAAATATTTGTGCAGAGTCAGCCCAATAACATCTTGATTTCAGCCTTCCAGGGTTCTAACTATAGAACCAAAAGAACTGAGAGAAAATAACTGGGTGCTGTTTTAAAGCCACTAAGTTGTGACAATTAATTATGCAGCAATAGAAAACAAATTATGATAAGATTTTACTTGACTATTGTGAGGGTCCAATAAAATATTCTTTCTAAATTTTATAAATAAATGTTATTATACAGTTGATATGTCTAAACAGAAATCATTTGCTACAACTTATCTCCTAATTAGGCTAATTTTCTTTATTTCTATAAAGCTACCACAATTATAGCTTTGTTTAACTGCATTGTGGAACTGTGGAAAACAGATACCTCTCCAGGATAGGGCATATGTGTGAGGGTATGGGTGTAAATAAATCAAAGGAAAAAAGATGTTAGCAAAGGCATAAGTCCAAAAATAAAGTGCTATGGCTCTAACCTCTAAGACTGTAAAGCAGGTCTAATGTGAGCATGCACTGGCAAAAAAATTTTTTGTAAGGAAGATTTATCAAATGTGTAGTGATTTTGCTTGGCTATCAGGGGCATCCAAATTTCAAAGATTTGTTTTATGTTTTCACAGCTATACTGAAGAAAATATAAGGAATTTATATTTTCTATGATAAAATAAGAAACACAAGTAACATATACCTAATCCTTCTAAAGGAAGCCATTAACATATTTGTGAAGAGTCAAAATATATGCTCAAAGTATAAAAGGGTTCATCCCACTTAACAATACTGGAGTTATAACCTATGTTTAATTGTATAATTGCTTCTTTTAATTTTATACTGTACTATGGGCATTTTACTCAGTTATTTTTATATCCTTATCATATTCTTTTTAATAGAAACACAGTATTCACAATAAAAACTGACAATTTAGTTAACCAATCGACTTAGACTGTTTCAAATACTATTATAAACAATGCATATCCATTCCTTCTCTCTTTGCACATGTAAGATGTTATTTCCTTAGACTAAATTCCTACATGCAGAATTATTAGGTTGATGTCTACATCTCTGAAAATATTCTGCATATTTTTAGCACTTTTATAATTAAAATTATAACTATTATTTTTGAGGTCTGTCAGTTGTTCTAATTATGCTTTTTGCGTTAATTTAATACCATTTATGTCCTACATCCTCTTGGACACTTATTCTTACACAAGTATGGAATGATTTTTGTCAAGGTTTCCCAAAGAATTGTTGAAATTATTAAATATGTAGAATAAACTGTAGGACATCACTATGGTTTTTACACAAACTTTTTGTTTTTCATGTTTTTATATAAGAAGTTTTGCCTACTTCCTTTTTGGGTTTACTTCTAGTATTTCATATATTGTCCATTTTGTTTCCTAATAATTTTCTGCTTAAATATGGCAGTATATTAAATATCTGTCTCATATTTATATGCTGTCATAAAGCTCAGAATATAAACTGGCCCCCACAAAAGGCTCATGTGTTGCAGACTTAATCCTTAGTTGATGGCAATATTGAGGTGTGAATGCATTGTGAAGGTGTGAATTTCAAAATCTGTTAAATCCATCCATGAATTCCTACTAAAGGGACTACTAAAAGGTAGGGCAGAAAGCAGGTCATTGGAGGCATGACTTTGAAGGGTCTACTGCCTGCCTGGTCCCTTTCGGTCTCTTTCTCTCTGCTTCTCAGCTGCCACAAAGTAATCAACTCTAGTCTCACATGCCTCCCCTCCCTGCTGTATGTTCTATCCCACCACAGACACCAAAACACAGAGCCAACTAACCCTAAAGTAAAATCTCTAAAACCAGGAGCCAAAATATAAATCCTTATTCATTTAGGTTGTTTCTCTCAAGTATTTTGTTACCACAGAAAGGCTAACGCAGTGTATCAAAGATGCAGATCTATTTTACATCCCTACTACATCCGACATACAGTACAGCTCTCTCTCTAATCCAACTTTACTATTCACTACTTTTTATTTTATTCTTACTCTGGATAACACCCAAAACTTTTAGGCTAAAAGTAACAATTCTGGATCTTCCTATAAATATTTACAAAGCTTATTCCTCTTTTATTTTGTAATAATTAAACTTACTAAAAAAAAAAGTGCTAAGAAACTAAAATACACATTTTAAGTAGTTTAATACCAGAAAATAATTTCAGCCAAGACACACAGACCATTACCATTCCTGATGTTGGGGAGAGCAAGATGGGTAGGTGAGCCTCTATTTTCAGCAGCTTCTTTCTTCTGGGTAACAGTTGAAACAAAGCTGCTACAAGTGGAAATCTGGCCCTTGGATCCTCTGTCCAGGCCCTAAAAACAAAACATTTGAAATTGTAACATAATTCTCCCTGCACTTTATTTTATTGTAAAGATTAAAGTGTCATAGCGATTTAGATTTTATGACAGAGAGATAATGAAACTTTTATATATGCAAGTGACCAAATTATCTTACGCATAGAAGAGCCGTATCAATCATCTGGGTACTTGAAAACTGGTAAGGCTGGGAAAGGTAACGGCAACGATATACCTATTTCACAGTTACTATGAGGTTTAACAAAGTCTACTCGTAGAATGGTTAACATACCCCACATGCATCCCTCCACACACAGTATGTATCCCACCGATGTTAACTACTTTAATTATGTCCAAAAAGCAGTGTGTAATTAATACTGCTTTTATGATCACTAAAACTGTAAGTTTTAATAATGTATGTTATGTTACAATTTGATTTACTAAAGTCTTTTATAATCATTTGCTCCAACTTTAGAAAGATATATAAAATGATAAATCCTTTAGTGCTTATTTCTTCCCAAGTATTATAATTAAATTGTGGGCATACTAGGATTCAATAAAAAAGTTCTAACCATGTTGGAATCCTTAGGTATAGATCACAGAGCACACACACTAAAGATCAAACTATTCATTAGCACATTTTCCACCCCCAAAACTCCAAAAATTCCTAAAACATTTAATTCATCTGTATTTAGTGAAAGTAAAATATAAGCAGTGCACATTTAAGCTGCAGTGCTGACTCTGGGCCTTTTCTTAGTTCTTAGATCTTTAGGAGCTTATGTTCCAGATCAGGTTAGGTTTTGTTTTGAGGTAGGGCCTCTATATATCCCTGCCGGCCTGAATTTTATTATATAGCTCAGACTGGCTTTGAACTCCTGTCAGCCTTGCCAAGGCTGAGATCACAGATCTACACCCCCTCACCTCACTTTTCGGCTCTCAGAATCTTGAGAATTAGTAGCTAAAGTTGTTAACATACTTTTTGTTCATACTGTGTGCGAAGACGTGTGTGCGTACATGCCCACGTAAATGTGTGCCGTGTGTGCTGTGCAAATGGAGGTCAGTGGGTGACCTCGGCGTCTGCACTCTCCTTCCACCACGTGGATCCTAGTGGATGAGCGCAGGCCAGCAATCTCAGTGGCAAGCGCATTTAGCCACTGAGCCATCTTGCCAGCCCAATGTCTACTTTTTTCCAACATCTACTTTTTAAAGGTAGTTATACTTTCACAGTAAGTGAAGAGTTTCCTTTTCACTTCTTTATTTACTCACCAAATTGATTCCATTTACTCTTTTTGAACTAACTCATACATGCTATAGCCGAAATATTTATGCTCACCAAATATTCACGTGTCCTCTCCAAATTTCCTGCCCTTTTACACAGCCATTTGATTAACTCTGATAGGCTACAAGTAGAAATAACATCTGTCAGTTCTAGTAAGAAGTGCTGACACATTTAAGATTGGTGGGAAAATCCCAGCTCCTGCTGTTTTCCAGCACTGTGACAATGACAGATACTAAGAGCTGAGGTGCTGGATTATTCATAAGCTTGAGTCTGGAGTGATGGATTATATGAAACAGAGCCACTTCTGACCAATATACTGGCAGTAATAAAACCTTTAGATGTTTTAAACACTGAAATTGGGCTATGTAACTGAAATAGCAGCTTATAACTAGTCTGTGAAGTTCTGTTTTTATTTTTCTAAAAAACCAATCATTCTTCCTAATCTTGCAATGTATTTAAATTACTGCAGAGAAAGTAACTGTTCTCATATTGGTCCATTAGGTTGCACTAAAGAGTCCTTATTCATCATAGGACTTAAAAAAAAGTTATTAGAAGCGCCCAAAGAAAATAAATACTATAATAACATAATATTAAACAGTTTTTGGATTTAAGCAACTTTTGGAAATCAGTTAACTCCTACTTCACAAGTAAGGAAACTGGAGTCATCTAAGCATCATCAAAAGTCAGTAGGCTGGGTAGAGTCTTTCAGAGGCCCTCTGTGGTAGGCTCCTGTCCTGTTTCTTGTTTCTCCTTTTTCCAATGTCCATCTCGTCTGTCTTTCTAAGTGAGTATCAGAGCAGATGCTGAGACCCATAACCAAACTTTGGGCAGGGTACAGGAAATCATATGAAAGAAGGGGGAGTTAGTAAGACCTGGAAGGGACAGGAGCTCCACAAGGAGAGAACCAAAATATCTTGGCACAGGTTTTTTTTTTTTTTTTCTGAGATTGATACTCCAAGGGCCATTCATGAAGATAACCTAGAACCCTTGCACATATATAGCCCATGGCAGCTCAGTATCCAAGTCGGTTCCCTAGTAAGGGGAATTGGGACTGTGTTTGACATGAACTCAGTGGCTGGCACTTTGACTACCTCTCCACCCCCCCATCCCCCGAGGGAGGAGCAGCCTTGCCAGGCCACAGAGGAGGACACTGCAGCCAGTCATGATGAGACCTGATATGCTAGGGTCAGATGGAAGAGGAAGAGGACCTCCCCTATCAGTTGACTTGGAGAGGGGCATGGGAGGAGGTGAGGAAGGGTGGGATTGAGAGGGAACGAGGGAGGGGGTTACAGCTGGGATACAAAGCGAATAAAATGTAATTAATGTAAAAAAAAATTAAAATTTAATTTAAAAAACTTCTGGGGAAAAAAAGCCAGTAGGCTAAAAAATTACAAAACTGTGATAGCTAGATTGTAGAAATGGCTCAGACAGTACAGTAGACTTAAATTTGATTCTCAGAACTAACATTTTAGAAGTCCAGGCATGGTAGTACATGCATTTAATCATGCTGTTGAGGAGACAGACACAGGCAGATGTCTGTGGAAAGTACCTGTAGAAAGTGCCACAAAACTAGTCCACTGACTCCACTGCATATGTATAGATGTATATACCTGTACACACTTGAATTTGCACACATGTGTACTTGAACACACAAAAATATGCACTCATGCACACACACACACAATGCTTCACCCAAACTGTAAAGAAACACTGAGAGTCTGAAGGATATGCCTTCACAAGTACATAGATGCAAACTGTAAAGAGACACTGAGAGTCTGAAGGATATGCCTTCACAAGTACATAGATGCAAACTGTAAAGAGACACTGAGTCTGAAGGATATGCCTTCACAAGTACATAGATAAAAATTTTTTTAATGTGCAACATCTTTGGCTGCTCATTGACTTTGTTACTGCTATTTGTTTTTGCAGCTCAGTGAATCCCAAACTGATATTTCTGTGTTAGAATTAGTGGACACAATAGTGTCTATAAAAGCTCAAAATATCTGGGCTGAGAAGACGCCTTGGCTGGTAAAGTGTTTCCTGCACAGCATGAGGACCTGAGTTTGTATCCAAACACCCAGGTAACTGTGTGGTGAGGGGAGACCTTTTCTTTAAAAAGTGTAGAGAATATTGAGAAAGAGGCCCAGCTTTGGCCTCCACTCACATGTACTCAGACATATAAACATCTACACATGCATACAACTGTTGAATATATTGTGTACCTGAAAATATAGTTTTCTAATAGATTCAGGAAAGAGAAAATCAGAAGTCTCAGAATCATAGATAGACATAAAGGGTTAGAACTACAATATAATGAGTGCTCAAAATGGTTATTACTGTTATAACAGCATATTAGAACAAATCATTTGTTGGGTGTTTCTTATACTCTTACTCCTGTATTTGATGCTTCACTACATTAAAACATTCTTGTGATATTGGTGGCTAATCTTGGTTGTCAACTTGACACAAATGGGAAAGAGAGAACATCAATAGTAGAATTGCCTCCATCAGATTGGCCTATGAGTATAACTAAGATGCCTTTTCTTGATTGCTGATTGATGTAGGAGGGCTCAGCCTACTGTGAGGAGTACTATGCCTAGGTAGGTGGTTCTGAGCTGTACAAAGAAAGAAGCTGAACATGAGCCCAGGAACAAGCCAGTAAGCCATGTTTCTGCTACAGGTTCCTGCCTTGCATTCCTACTTTGGTTTCCCTTGATAATGGGCTATAAAATAAAACAAACCCTTTTCTCCCCTAAAGTTTATTGCAGCAATGGAAAATCAGACTAGAATAATACTTCCACTTCATTGTACAGCAGAGGAGCTTGAAATGCCTTTCATGTTCAAATGCACAGACCACAGCAAATAAGAGTTTAAATTCCAGTCTAATGACTATCAAGACTTACTTGCAAATTACCACATCACAGAATCTGAAGCTATAGTAGCTATCACTAGTAGGGGCTCAACATGTGAGAATAAATGTTAAATATAATATACTGCCAATTTTAAAAACTACTCTTTGTGGTTATACTTTTACTGATGGTGAATGATATTTAATAACTTTAGAAGCAACTCAACTAACCACAGGAAATTAATACTTGGAGCCAGGAAGGCCATGCGACTGGAAGAGCCAGTCTTGAGCAAGACTGAGGTTGAGACATGTTCAAACACCGACAATCTCATCTGGAGACTGGCAAGAGTAGGACTACTTCCTCCCTGTTCTGGGCCTGCATGTCCCAGTGCATGTAAGCCTTACAACCCGAACCTCTGCCACCCTTGAGGTGGTCACATAGCCTCGTGGCCAGGTTTCAGGTTAAACTTCCTCCCTCCCTATAAGGACATATCCAGCAAGCACCTGAAAATTCCTCTTCATAAAAATGAAGCATTCCCAGCACCTTGGCCCTAGCTAATGATGTACACCCACCCCCAAAACTCCTATGCACTCCCAAAGGTCCCCTCAATAAAGAGAGCTGTTTCATTGAAAACTGTCTCCTGAGAAGGCTGTTTCTCCTGCATTCACATAAACTGAGATCGTGTCTAACCTACCTGCCCAGGCTAAGTTTCATTCCCTCCAGTCCAGGCTGGTGCCTCGATAAACCAGGGGAAAAGCAGACCTGGGGCAGCATTAAAATACATATAAAACCCAAAATATTTTAGGGAGATCCCTAATATCCTAATGATTTAGGAAAAACTTTCTGGTTTTTCCTCCTCTTCCTCCACCTTGTCTTAATAAAAACAAAGT